AGGCATGTTAAGAGACGACTAAAATCTGTTAGAAAATTGAGAAACTCCGGAGTAATAGTGTTGGACTATGTTCACACGTCTAACAATCTGGCAGATCAGTTCACTAAGGGTCTGTCACGCAATGTAATATAAAATGCATCGAGAGAGATGGGTTTGAGACCCACATGAAATTTACTATAGTGGTAACCTGTTCTATGTGATTGAAGATTCCGTGAAGTAGGATGGTGAAACAAGCTAGTAGTAAATTATGAGGAAAGATCCTTGGTAAAACTCATTTGTGCTGCATATCTTTCCTTTCTGTAAGGCAGGTTGGTTTTTACCTTAATGTGTTCCAAGTGGCTTGCTAAAACAAAGATGTTATCCTACAGAACATCTTTTGAGAAACACAACTATATGAGTCAGACTGCTGGCCACAGTTTATGAGATTTGGGTGATCTCTAAATACTCATGAAAGGCGCTGGAGTATGACTTATATGTTTCAAATAGAGAGGATGTCTTTTGCAGCCTAGTATCAGCTAAGGACTTTAGTGACATTTACCTCACATAAAACTGTAAATTCAAGACTTAGTCCATTGTTCAGTTGTGACTGAGTGAAACTATTGCTCTAAATGGATGTTCAACTTAATAGTCTCCATCGAAACACTGGTATATAAAAGAAATGTGGTTCTGAGACTACTTTGTTACAAACGCTAGAGTTTGGTGGGGATTGTTGGATATATTATGGGCTTGGCCCAAATAATATTTAATAAATCAAATAAAACTCTATGGTACATAACATTAAGCGTTGTATGGTTTAATACCGTACGTGATTTTAACTGAACGTTTACTCAGCTTATTTGGTTGAAAATTATCCATCTTAATTCAGAAGCTGAGAAAAGAACAAACGAGTGCCACATGCGCGCGCGCCGCCGCTGGCCGGGCCGGGCCGTGGGCGTGGGCCGGGCTGAGGCCGAGGCCGTGGGCGTGGCGTGGACTGGCGTGGCAGGCGGGCGACGAGCGAGCAGGCTTGCGTGGCTGGGTTTTGCCACTTAATCCACATAATTATGGGAGTTTCTCTCATTGATGGTGGAGGCGAGTTGATTGCGTCAGTTACCGTCTCTCCGTATCTCCGACTCTTGAATTCCTCCGCTGGCTCTCTCTCCCCGCCGCAGGCATAAAACCGAAAGTCCTCCTTCAGTCCTCTTCCCTTCCCTTTCGCTTCCGAGAGACCGCATCTCAGCCGCCCTTTGGCTTTCCCCGTCCCGTACCTCTGCGCGCACAGAGTAGCGGGAGAGATGGTGCCGTTGGAACCCTCGTCCTCCTGCGAACCTTGCACGGGGTGTGCGGCGATTAAGTTTTTGGTGAGCGATTCCGCGACTGCTCGTCCGACGTCTTCTTTTTCCTGGTGATCGCTCGCGGAACACGTCTTCTTCCTGGTGACTGTTCGTGGGACTGCACTGCGAACATCTTCCTGCATAGACTGTGGTCCACGACTTCGAGCAACGCACTATGTCTGGTGCGAATGGAGCCTCCGATGCCCTCGGCATGGGACCCTCCGCTGGGTACACTTTTATCTCTGTGATTACAGTACTTTGCGAACTTACTGTATCGATCAGTAGATCATATATGCATACTGTAGCGTTTGTTAGAGATATACACATGCACATATATGTTGTCACAAACTTGCTGATGTTTTATTTCTGGATTAAATTGACCATAAAAATGTCTAATTATCTAACATGATATGCATTGTAACTGAGATATAAAAATGTCATATCAAAATGGGGACAGGTATGATGTGTCCATGACAAATATCGGTTTTCTCTTTGTGTTGTTTTGCACCGGCAAATGCGAAAAGGAAAGAAACTGACAAAATCGTCAGTTTGTTGGTCACATCTATACAGAGAAAAAAAAAAGAAACTGAACATAAGCAGGCGCAGCTGAACAACATGATAATAAATCAAACACGACTAATATTAGTAGCCAACAAAGTAGGTAGCAGCAGAAATCATACCACACTAAATCACGAGCGCTCCGCACAGCACCATGAGAACCCTCTTCCGCCAAGCAGGACCTAAAAAGGCAGGAATAAAGCAAAACCAGAACATCAATCCACCGTATTATAAAATGCAGAAAAAGGATTATGCACAAAGACAGTTCTTGCGAAGTGAATGGGAGATGCGAAGAACAACAAATCCACTCTGCGGTTCCTCAAGCACTCCGCGGCCGTTCAGCGAGCGCTCCTCCATGCATAGGACGGATCGTGGGACGGCCCCTCTTATGCGAATCAGGACCTATCGAATGTCGAGAACACCACTAATATCAAGTCGTACCATGAGGGAAAAAACCTTACCAGACTAAGCGTAGTCCGCACAGGCACAGTTCCAAGCACCACGAGCACACCGCCGCAACGCGGCACTACAGCGCCCCCGCAGTTCCTCTTGAGTCTCGTCTGCTGCGAACCAAGAAAAGCATTGAGCAAAAGTAAGACCGTTCAAGAAGAAAAAACAGGACATGTAAGCTCAAGTGACCGCCGGTCGCTAACCAACGCTAATGTCGCCGCCCACCATGCCTAGATCTATGTGCGTGTGGGTATTTACCTGGGTCTACGCCCATGCCGGTGCGACGACGCGTCGTGGCCTCGTCGGCTGCCCTCGCCCCGCGCCTGCGCGGACTGCGGGTGCCCGCACACACCGAGGCCACACCTGGCCCGCGCCCGCACCCACAGCTGGGCCCGCCTGCGCCACCCACCGCCGGAGCCCGCCCGCCGGGGGCCACTCTCGCCCTGCGCCCGCAGCCACAGCCGGGGTGTGCCCGCGCCGGGGGCACCCTCGCCCTGGCCGGCCGTGGAAGACCGCCGGAGGCCGACCACGCCGTCGCGCCGCCGCGCCCAAGCCCACCCGCGCCTCTGAGGCTCCACGCCTCACGCCACTGTTGGAGAGAGAGAGAGAGGGAGGGAGAGAGAGTTGGAACGGAGCAGGGAGAGACGACACTGCTCTAGACATTTTGGTGGGAGAGAGCAGGCTTTCCGGCCGATGGACGCCTGGGCGCTACCGTTGGGCCCGACTGTACCCGACCCAATCACCAATCGACAACGGCGAGAACTGGCCAATGGCAGATAGACAACGACGCCAGCGCGCAGGTCCTCTGACCGAACCCCGATAGGCCTCCCTGGTCAGCGCTAGCACCACCGTCTGATAGGAATCCAACTGCCTGCATTCGTTTCGATGACGTGGCCATGCTGAGGCCGCGCCGGCGCCGGCGCGAAAGGACGCGCCGCGCGCGTACGGCGGCAGGCCCAGCCCGGCGATGAAGATCCGGCGCCCCACAGTGAAAACGTCGACGCGGCCACGCCAGTTGCCCTCCGAGGCGGCGCGGCTCTCTTGAGAGTAAATTCAGTGCTCAGATGAGCTCCGGTTTGCGAGGTGTTGCGTTGCGGATGATCTAGTGGAGATCCCGTGTCCCCCGCCGTGCGGCTCTTCTGATTGGGCGATGGCACGATGAGCTTCTTTTTGGAGTGGCAGTTTTGTTGGTCGGTTCATTATTCACGTCAGGACTCGGGAGTACTAATTTGTTGTGTTTTTTTTTATATAAGGGAAGGGCACCAGTACTGTACAAATACTATTTGTTACTCCGACAAAAAGAATCATTTCTTGTATATACACACCAAGAAAAATTATGTGGACATCTGTACTGCAACTATGAAGCAATGGAGTAGTAGAGATTCAAAAAATGGGACCTACAGGGTATGCTTGGGACCCCTAAAAATTAGATTGAATGTGAAAATAATCGAGAATTCCACTCAACTTCCTTTGATTATTTTTATATTGTCCAGGAATCGAGCATTCAAAACAAATCGCATTTTAACTAGGTGTCTTGTAGCCGAAGAAGCCTGGGCGTCGTCCGGTTGCTCTGTTCTGACACTTTGCGTGTTAGAGGGTGTCGGCTTGGACCGGCCTCCCCCAGGTGAGACCTTCTGGAGTCTTCTTGATGGCGAAGGAGGTCGGCTCTAGGGGCTGACGTGCGGGCCCGGAACCCCCCGAGCCTCCGGAGGCCGTGGGAAGCTTTGTCTTCTTGTATCACGCCCCCGGGCGTGACCCTGTCAGAGGAGCAGTTGGCAGGGGTATGCCTAGGGAGCGGCGTCAGGGAGCCCCTGGGCATCGGTAGCCTACGACTTGTCTTCTTGTGCCCGGGCCTTAGGCCAAGTTTAGTTGGCGATTTTTTTTGGAAAATGGTACTGTAGCACTTTCGTTGTTATTTGACAATTAGTGTCCAATCATAGTCTAATTAGGCTTAAAAGATTCGTCTCGTGAATTTCGTCTAAATTGTGTAATTAGTTTTATTTTTTATTTATATTTAATGCTTCATGCATGCGTCCAAAGATTCGATGTGACGGAGAATCTTGAAAAATTTTGCAAAATTTTGGGAACTAAACAGGTACTTAGCTGACATCGTTAGCCGGGCCCGGAGGTGCCGTAGATCGGGAGTCCAAGGCTCGGGGAAGCCCCGAGCCCCAGGCGGAAGCTGCGGTCAAGTCAGGCTCGGGCGGGTCTCTTTGCCAGAAGGTGCGCGCGAGCGTGTCCGATGGACATAGCCCCCGAGCCCCCGGGCGATCCTAAAGAGGTCGGTCGGGGAGTCTTCTTCATTCGGGAACTATCGGACCCGAGGCTTAACATGATAGGACGAGCTTGTAGGGCGTAACTTTGCAACTCGAGGTCACTGATCCCTATGCCGCCGAATTGGGTCGGTTTGCACACCGCCGTCCATGCCACCATGCACTTCCCGCGGACAGACGCGTCGCTGCCCACCCAGAAGAACATCCTGCATATGGCATCAATTTCCTTCATAGCCCATTGCAGAAGGTTGTGTAAGAGCAAGCTACTGGAAAAGGGAAGATACGCAAGGAAGAACCGGAAGATAGACAGGAACGGCGCGATGGCCGGATTTACTCAGAACAAGTATAGTTTTGCGTTTTCCTTCCTGTCCTCTCCCTTCGTCCTTACTGCTACCTAATACATTTACTAAGCTTGCCACATTGGGCCAGCAATCTTTGTATTGGGCCAGCGCAGTCTCTTGGGCCGATCAGCCCGAGCAGCCTCCTGTTCAGCTTCTGGCGCGTCGTCCTCCGTAGTCACCGGCACAGGAAGTGGCCGGCAGCTAACAGTCCCTCCATCTTCAGAACCAGCATGTCCCCAGGCTGGTGCTCGTGGAAACTGTTGGTGCAGTTGCTCAAGCGGCTCCCAAGTCGACAGCTCCAATGGTGATTGAGACCACTGGATAAGACCTTGTGCCACAGGGCGAGGCCCCGATGTCCAGCGTCGTTGCAGCACTCGAAGCGGAAACTGAAACGGCAGCAAGTCAGAAGGTAGTGATGGTGAAACCTGCTGATGTCCAGGAGACGAGCGCAGCTGCGAGACGTGGAAGACTGGATGTACAGCAGCGCCCGGTGGAAGTTGCAGCTTGTATGCAACTGGACCAATCTTTTGAATGACTTGAAATGGTCCAAAGAACTTGAAAGATAGCTTGTTGTTGGAGCGGTGGAACAGTGATGATTGGATATAAGGCTGCAGTTTTAAGAACACCATGTCGCCCATGGAGAACTGACGCTCAGAACGGTGTTTATCAGCTTGCCGTTTCATTCTAGTCTGAGCGCGGAGCAAGTGCTGCCTGACAACAGCATGCATGAGCTCGCGGTCAACCAGCCACTTGTGAAGATCAGGCACTGGAGCCACCTCATCCAAGTTCACCGACAACAGTCGTGGAGGAAAACCATATAAGACTTCAAAGGGGGAGCGGCCCAGCGCGGAATGTGTAGAAGTATTGTACCAAAATTCCGCGAGTGGTAACCATCGACTCCATTGAGCTGGGCAAGTGTGCACAAAGCAGCGAAGAAATGTTTCGACACACTGGTTGACACTCTCGGTCTGGCCGTCCGTCTGAGGATGGTATGCTGAGCTGAACTGTAGCTCGGAACCGGCTGCCTTAAACAGAGATTTCCAGAAATTGCTTGTAAAGATGCGGTCACGGTCTGAGACAATGGCTCTAGGAAGACCATGAAGGCGATACACTTGGTCCATGAAGATCTTGGCCACAGAAGATCGCTGTAAAGGGATGACGCAGGGAGATAAAATGTGCAAACTTGGAGAACTTGTCCACCACGACTAAGATGGCATTATAGGAACCAGACTGCGGCAACCCCTCGATGAAATCCATCGTGATCACTTCCCAGGAGGCAGACGGTACAGGAAGAGGCTGCAAGAGACCTGGGTAGCGTGACCTGTCCGGCTTAGCTTGCAAACACACCGCACAGGATTGGACATAAGCCCAAATGTCTGATTTCATACCAGGCCAGAAGAACAAAGATTTAACTTTACTGTATGTTGCTGGAGCTCCGGAGTGGCCACCCAAAGGACTGCTATGCAGTGCAGTCATAATTTTGAGCTGCATGGGCTTATTGGAGCCGAGCCACAGACGGTTCTTGTATCTGATGATGCCTTGGACCAAGGAGAATGGAGGGTGGCTGTCTGGACTGGCAGCCAGCTGAGATAACAAAGCCATAGCAGCCTGATCAGAGTTGTAGCCCCTAACCACTTCCTCGAGCCAAGTGTTGGAAACTGAAGATATAGCATAGCTCTGGGTGGTGGGCACTCGGCGGGATAGAGCATCTGCCGCGCTGTTCTCTGAGCCTTTCTTATACAAGATCTTGTACTGTAGCCCGAGCAGCTTGGAGAAGACTTTCTGTTGCCAGGCAGTATGGAGCCGCTGTTCATTAAGATGGACCAAACTGCGATGATCAGTGTGAATGAAGAATTCGCCCTGGAGCAAATAGTGGCGCCACTGTTGGACAGCCAGCAAGATGGCGAGATATTCCTTCTCATAGATAGACAACCCTTGATTCCGGGGACTTAAAGTCTTGCTGATGAATGCTATGGGATGCCCATTTTGTTGTAAAACAGCGCCAACCCCTGTACCCGAAGCATCCATTTCAATGTGGAAGGGTAAAGAGAAATCCGGCAATGCTAGGACAGGAGCTGTACAAAGAGCTTGTTTCAGGACCGAAAAGGCAGAGTCATGGGCTAAAGTCCAAATAAACAACTGATCTTTCTTCAAGAGATCGGTTAGAGGCTTGGCCACAATGCTGAAATGACGCACAAACTTGCGATAATAACCGGCAAGTCCCAGAAACCCACGGAGCTCCTGAACTGAAGATGGAACTGGCCATTCAATGACGGCTTGTACCTTTGCTGGGTCCGTGGAAAGACCTTGGCTGCTGATGATATGACCCAAGTAGGAGATGGACTCCCGGGCGAAGGTGCATTTAGAGAGCTTGAGCTTCCACTGATCAGCACGTAACCACTGAAACACTTGGCGCAGATGATCAACATGAGCTTCAAAAGTGGGGCTGTAGACGAGGATATCATCAAAGAAAACCAACACAAAGCGGCGCAACCTCAGAGCCAAAGTACCATTCATTGCGCCTTGAAATGTGCCTGGTGCACCGGTAAGACCGAATGCCATGACTCTGAACTCGTACTGACCCAGGTGAGTCTGGAAAGCGGTCTTGAATTCTTCACCGGGTTGCAAAAGTATTTGGTGGAAACCAGCTCGAAGATCCAGTGTTGAGAAGCACTTAGCTTGTGCGAGCTCATCCATCAGCTAGTCAAACACTGGCACCGGGAATTTGGACTTGCTGGTCAGAGCATTGAGATGTCTGAAATCAACACAAAAGCGGTACGAGCCATCTTTCTTTTTAACCAGCAGAACCGGGGAGGAGAAGGAACTAGAGCTCGGCTGAATGAGTCCCTGTGACAGCATCTCCTGAACCTGTGCTTCGATTTCATCTTTCAATTTGGGCGGATACCGATAAGGCCGGATGAAAACAGGCTGAGCACCAGGCAACAGAGGAATCTCATGGTTACAAGCATGGGAAGGAGGCAGAGATGTTGGTGGCTGGAACAATTCAGAGAACTTGTCAATTAACTGATGGATTTGAGTTGGAACCGTGATGGCATCCTGACTTGAAGACAGCACAGGTTCTGAATGTTCAAGTTGCAACAGTAGGTGATCTGGTTCGTCAGGAAGGATACCTTGTAATACCTGAGTCTGACCCTTGTATGGAATGGCCAACCACTTCAAGGCCCAGTGAACTTGCATTGGGCTGTAGGACTCCAACCAATCCATGCCCAGAATGGCATCGAAGTTACCCAAGGGTAGAACCCGGAAATCAGTTGTAAAGGAGCAGGATCCCACTGTCCACGGAACTTGGCGAAGTAGCAAGGAGCTCTGTAAGACACCACCTCCAGCAACTTGCACACAGCTAGCAACAGGTACTGAATCGAGGTGATGTAACTGAATGGATGTTGTGTCACTGAGAAACGAAGATGAACTTCCTGAATCCACCAGAATATGAACTGGAATACCTGACATGGAGCCCAACAGCCGGATAGTACGAGCAGCAGGAACCCCGGACACAGCTGACTTAGAGATGGCTAGAAACACTTGCTCGGTTGATTGGTCAGCAGGGGTGTCGATAGCTGGCACCACCTCAGGATCCAGGGATTCCCACAAAGCTTCAACTGCCTGCAATACCTCTGGTGCACACCGGTGATCCTTACTCCACTTGGCGTTGCACTTGTAGCATAAGCCCAGGGCGCGACGGTATGCTTTGATAGCAGCCAGAGCACCAGATGCCGAATATGTTGCCGTGGGCTCGGCAGCTGCAGGCTTCACCACAGGCTTCTCGGCACGAGGCGGAGGTTGTGGAAGCGGCAACGCGGTCCGTGGTGTAGGTTTTTGAGACCACTCAACCGGTGCCGACGAACGGAACGAAGACTGGACGCCCGATTGGCCAGCCACCTCCTCCTGCACAAGAGCCATGCAAATAGCAGCATCGAGTGTTTGGGGCCTAGAAACTAGAATCATAGCTTTGAGGTCGGGCCGAAGGCCATCGATAAATCTCATGGTATAAAACAGGGGATCAGTAGAAGCAGAATAGGACTTTAGACGATCGATTAAGATGGAGAAACGCTCGACATAATCCAACACCGTAGAAGTTTGTTTGATGTGGAACAATTGGCGAATTAATGCTTCTTTCTGGTCGCGATCAAAACGATCGTGCAAGGCTTGACAGAAGGAGGTCCAATTGGCAGTAGCTGGAGTGTTTTCGATGGATTCGTACCAACCTGCAGCGGCACCTTCCACAAACATGGTGGCTACGCTAACCCAAAGTGAGGGATCTACGGCGTACATGGTGAAGTATCGCTCACAGCGAGAGCGCCAGAGGCGTGGGTTTTCGCCATCGAACTTAGAAAAAGGAAGCTTAGGAAGGCGTCCAGTTGGGTGTTGCAGGTCAGGGGAATCATAAGGAGTTGGGTGGCGAGGAGTCGCAAATGGTGGACGAGGAGGTATGTAAAGTGGAGGAGGACGTGGTGGATGCGGAGAAGGGTGCGGACGCGTAGGAATATGTGGAGAAGGAAACGGTGGAGCAGGTGGCCGGTGCGGAAGCTGCTGTGTCGAGCGCGGATGAATGGGAGGAGGAGGAGGAGGAGGAGGATCGGATTGCTTACCCATGACCGGGACGTGAGTCCAGACCGCACCGGTCCCGAACTCACCATCCCGGTGAGATGTCGCATCGCCGTGCCCACTGGGCGTAGAGGAGGAAGAGGCGACGACGGTAGGCCATTGAGGCAAAACGTCGAACACCTTCGAGTCGTGACTCTGAGAGAACTTCTGCATCTCGAGTCGCAGGTCGTCGACGAGCGCCTCCATCTCGGGGCCCCAAGTACCGAGGTCCGTGGCGGCCACCTCGAGGGCGGTGACGCGGTCGTCGCGCTCGTCGTGTAAGACATCGAGGCGGACGGCCTCCAAATCGGCGACGCGGCGGCCGATGGTGTACGCCGTGTCGGCGCCCGCGAGCTCAAGGGAGTCGAGGCGTTTGTCGACGGCGGCGTCACGGGCGGAGCGGCTAAGTTCGAGATCGGCGAAGCGCCGCTCCCACTGCTCGTGGTGCTCGTCGAAACGACGGCCGAACTCCTCCTTGGACTTTTGGATCTCCTCCAGGACCAACTTTAGATTCGGATCCATGGCTCCCCGGGATCGTTGCAGACGGGTGAAGTGAGTATGAGGGGGATGGAAGGCCAGGACGCGAACCGAAATCTGATACCAAATTGTAAGAGCAAGCTACTGGAAAAGGGAAGATACGCAAGGAAGAACCGGAAGATAGACAGGAACGGCGCGATGGCCGGATTTACTCAGAACAAGTATAGTTTTGCGTTTTCCTTCCTGTCCTCTCCCTTCGTCCTTACTGCTACCTAATACATTTACTAAGCTTGCCACATTGGGCCAGCAATCTTTGTATTGGGCCGGCGCAGTCTCTTGGGCCGATCAGCCCGAGCAGCCTCCTGTTCAGCTTCTGGCGCGTCGTCCTCCGTAGTCACCGGCACAGGAAGTGGCCGGCAGCTAACAGGTTGTCAGCCATCATTGCGTAAATGGGGACAGCCGCAGTACTGACTTGATCCACACAAGTCGCCCACCTCGCGGCAAAAGGGAGCCATGGCAGGGGCAGCTTCCTTGCTACTGCCTCGACAATGGACTGCACCTACGCTTTGGGGATTTTCTTGATGCTCAGAGGCAGGCCAAGGTAGTTACGCCTTGTTTAGATGCCATCCAAATTCTAAGTTTTTTCACTCTCTCTCCATCACATCAATTTTTAGCCGTTTGCATGGAGTATTAAATGTAGGTAAAAAAATAACTAATTACACAGTTTAGTTGGAAATCACGAGATGAATCTTTTGAGCCTAGTTGGTCTACGATTGGACAATATTTGCCAAATAAGACGAAAGTGTTACTATTCATCGGGCTCACTTTTTTTGCAAAGTGAACGAGGCATTAATTGGGAATGGCTGCACTTGGCATCCAAGAATGCTGATGATCTCTTCCAGATACTCATCTCCTCCATAGATAGGAGTGATGGAGCATTTGGCCATGTTTGTTAATTTTCATCCCCTAGAGGGCTGGCTAGAGGCAAGAACAAACAGGGCAAGCGATCAACTGGTGCAGACCGACGAATTTAGCCAGCTCATTAGCCTCAACCTCGACAGCGATAATCCACCCGCCGGCGAGCCCCACCGTGGCGGCCAGGACAGCCACGCCCAAAAGCCAGGTCACACGACGGTGCCACCAGCGGAGCAGCCCCGCCGTATGCCGTACCCGTGCGGGCCGTGCCATATGACACAGCACGCACTCTTTGGCTCGAGTCAATGATACGCACGCCACCCAGCTACCGGAAAGGGTAAAGGAAGCTTGTCACACGTAGCCGGAGGGAGGGAGGGCCTCCGGATCGCGTGTCGTAGAAACGGGGCCGCCGGGCCGCGCGAGCCGCGACGCGATCACGCGAGGCATCATCAACCATCAACCTCCGCGTGCCCGCGTACGCCCAGCGCCGTTGCGCCGAGCCGCCTCACGCGTCTCGGCACGTCAGACGCCGGCGCTTTTGCGGCCTGCGCCTCGGACGGGACGTTCACGTCCATCGCCGCTGTGCTGATTTGATGTGTTGCCTGGGGCTGGTGGGGCCGGCCGGCTGGGGGCAGGCGCCGAGATCAGCCAAAGGCGTTTTCACAACAATTCGATGCGGACGTTGATGGCATGGACCGGTGGACGGACGACGGGACGCCCGAATTGATTCCATCACCGGCGGAACGCGTGTGTACATTTACACCTGTACAGATGCGATGCGCGGCAGCTCTACGGTGCGTGCCGCCGAGAGGCGAGGGCGGTGTACCGTGTACGTACGGCCTGCAAGAGTTACAGCAGCAGCGTGGAGAGGAGGATGATGAGACAGCCGTGCCAGAGAGCAGCCACCTGGTACGGTCGTCTCCAGGCTCGCGGGCGCGTCGCCGGGCCGCCGTTCGCGGCCGCCGTTGCCGGTGTGGTAGACGGCGCGTCGGACCCTGCGGTGAGAGATCTTGTCAGTGCCGACGTTTTTGGCCATCTTCACTTCTCTTATTTTAGCTTATTTTTTTAATCGGACCAGTGTTTTTCTCTCACAGCAAATCAGTCGGAACAATGTTTCAGCGACGCTCAATGTTTCAGCGCGAGCGCGCGCACGGTGTCGATGCGGGCGTCGTGCGCGCCGCCGTAGTACCTGGCGAGGAGCGCGCACAGGCAGGCGGCGTCGTCGCCGCCCACGACGGCCGCGAGCGCCAGAAGCGAACGGGGCCTTTGTCACGACTCGCGCGGGGTTTATCAGTCCACTGCTTGTTACAGGGACATGCTAGTACCAGTGCTCCTACAGACGGAGTATTGCAAGATTTCACGACGTACAACAAATGTAGTTTTTATTAGCTACGCCTACACTTTGTACAATTGTACTGTACAGGCTAATGCTCAAGGGAGTGGTAGTAGTATCATACAAAGTTCTGAATTACGGTTAGTACGGATGGATGGTCTAGCAAATGAAGTTTGCAAGAGGCGGGCGGCATAGTAACTTTGAGGTACCGTACCCGAGAGAATCTAGGCAAATTAAGAAGAAGAAAAATACACAGCGTTGACATGATGATTTGATTTCCTAGAGTACCTACGACGACGCCTTTAAAGTTATTTATTACTATTAATCGGTCGCTAAATCCCACCAGGCACCAGGGCAGCCACATTGCAGAACGCGAGCGTATCGAAACCGGCGTAGTAGCGTTTACCGCACGCGGGCAGACCAGAGCGCGCCGTACGTACCTGAGTCCGTCGGCGCGGCGGCGGCTCCGCCCGGCGGCTCGGCGACGGGCATGCCGAGCGCGGCACAGAGCCTGGGCGGCGGCGCGTCCACGCGGCAGATGGTGGGCAGCGCGAGCGCGCGCACGGTGTCGACGCGGGCGCCGTGCGCGCCGCCGTAGTACCCGGCGAGGAGCGCGCACAGGCAGGCGGCGTCGTCGCCGCCCACGACGGCCGCGAGCGCCCCGCAGCAGCCCTTCTCCGGCCGCGTCAGCGCGCTGCGGCGCTCCACGTACGTCAGGCACGGCGTCAGGTTCAGCAGCGCGCCCGCGCAGTCCAGCGACGACGGCGCGGGGGCGCCCAAGGGCGGGGCTGATATCTGCGCGCTCGCTCGCGGCTGCAGGGCCAGCGTGGCCGCGACGGCGAGGACGACCAGCGCCGCGGTTGGCACCGTCAGAGCCATGGCGTCGCCGTCTCTGCCGCGGCTGGTTCTTGGGATTCCTGGTGGAGGAGGGTGTGAGTGTGAGTGTGAGTGTGAGGTGTGCCCTGTTTGACATGTGGGGATGGGGAGCTCACTGCTCAGCGTGCGCCTGTGTGTCCGTTTGTGCGTTTGTGCTCGTGTGTAGGGTAGGCTGGCCGAGCGAGTGATGGGGACGTGTGGTTAAGTAGTGGTACGTACCTTGTGGGCAACGCTAAGCTGGGGTGTCGTGACAATGGCGTTCTTGCCTAACGGCCAACGGTTGGAAAATGGTAGGGCCATGAAGCCGCTCCCTCCAATAAACCTTGCCGCTGTAACTGTCCTAAGCAAATATTATGGTTCCGTTCGCTGATTTGAACTTGGCTGAAACTGACTGAAAAAACTGTTCTGGCTGAATTGTTGTGAGAGAAAAATAATGTTCCGGCTAAAAAAAGAAGCTGCACAAGCCGAATATGGGGTAAGCTGAACAAGGCCAAAGTTAATGATTTCCGCCGCAATCATGATTTCTGCTAGTAGGAAACACACAAGGGCAAGTCCACTTTTGAGTCCAGCCATCGGGGAAAGAAAAACCTACACTAAGCATAAGGATCGTCAAGGCACGACAGTGCCATGATTGTAGGATCCGATTCCGATCATACGACGACTCTTGGTCTTTCCTACTAGTACCAGTGATTAGCACGTACTTATAAGTCTTTCAAGAATCTTGAAGAATTAAAATATCTCAAGTTTAACCAAAATTATTGAGAGAATTACAAAAAATATGACATTAAATAGGTATACTATGAAAATATAATTAATAAAGAATCTAATAGTACTTAGTTGACATCATAAATATTATTATCTTATCATATAAATTTGGTCAAACTTAAGATGCTTTGACTCTCCAAGATTCTTAGAGTAACTTATAATTTGGAACGGAAAGAGTACTACTGTAACCAAGAATGACTGATTGAAACGGGTCACAGTGCTAATCGGCGATACAACGAATAGGCCATCAAAATTGATCCTATCAACTTGGCTGGACCCACACGACCTAATAGCCTCGCATCTCTACACACGGACATACTCTTATCAGTACCAGCTTCTCTCCCAAATCTCCGTTCTAGTCGTTCACTCGATTTTCTCTCTCGTCGTTCGTCTGGCACCGCTTACTTGAGTTCCTGCTCGCTAGCCTCCCTCTCCACCACGCCCTACCGCAAGCGCTAGCCTTCCTCTCTCTCCATGGTGTCCCTCGCTCGTTTTGCTCCCTTTCCAGCGATAGCTCCCGTCGCTCTTTGGATCCCGGGCTGTGCTCGCTCATCATATAGTTTTGGGATGTTGCATTCACTACTACACTCGGACCTTTCACAGCCACGTCGTAACCCCCATGGCAGACCAATTTTGGCCTCGGTAGTAAGCTATCGACAATGATAGTCATAGCCATCACCATCGTCATCTAAGACCGACTGTGGTGTAGACTACACTGTCATATTGGCTTATCATCCGTCCGTGATAAGGTCCTTACTTTCATCGTATTGGAGCACGACCCGTCTGTGGGTATACACTAACACCGTCGCATTGGCAAACAATCCGCCTGTGTGGAGGCTATCATCACCGTTGTGTGGGCACATCAACCGCCTGTGTAGTGGTCACTAGCACCGTCACCTTGTACTTTGACCCAACTGTTTACGATGCAGCTTTGCTGTTGCTTCGACGGCCGAGACGTCTGTAAGAGGTTAACACCAGCGTCGCTTCAGCGTATAAACCGCTAGTACAAAGGTCATGGTCACCGTCGCCTTGCACCACAATCCGTCTTTGATGATCGTTTAGTCGGTGTTGGGTTACTAAACGATTCGACGGTGATACACTTTTGATTCCTGCCGCATAATACGTATAGCGACAGTGTTGGACGTTTGCACCACCA